CTCTCTCTCTCTCTCTCTCTCTCTCTCTCTCTCTCTCTCTCTCTCTCTCTCTCTGTGTGTCTGTGTGTGCGTGTGTGTGTGTGTGTGTGTGTGTGTGTGTGTGCGTGCAAAAACGAATGAATTATCCGCTAGAAAATCGAAATGTACAGTACTACATGTGCGTGTGTGCGTGGAGCGGAAGATTCTTTTGATTCTATGGAAGTACTCTCTCTCTCTCTCTCTCTCTCTCTCTCTCTCTCTCTCTCTCTCTCTCTCTCTCTGTCTGTTACATGCACAGATATGCAATGTACGTAATATACCGAGAATCTGCAATGTGATGAAAAGGACTGAATAGACAATGAGGTACGAGTAGAATCTCGACAAGCAATGTACATTCTCATTCATACATAAAGATGCTGAAGAGCGCAGGGAAGACTTTGATACAAAGACTGACTTGACAGGACTGACCTCATTCACGWAKTTCAGAGTAACGAAACAGAATGCTAGCRTACCTCTAACTTGCCCAATCAATGTTTGAACTCAGACTAAACATGCATTGTATCCATCACTCAGTGTGAAGGAGCCTGGCGCTGTAACACAGGAAGCAAGCGCCAGGTCCAGACATACACAGACGAAGAGATAAGGATCAGACGAAAAGGAGGGAGAATGTGGGAATGTCGTTAACACCAAGTCTTGGTAACCAGTCCCAAATAGTCCCTCGTTGCCATGTCTGAATCCCAAAAAGTCGAGTCTGGATCATATGTCACCAAGCCCGGTATCTCTTCTCTCGTAGTCTGCAACTGCAGGGAAGGCAGAAGTTGAGAGGGAAAGAAGAAGATGGGGGACTGAGAAGAGGAAGAAGAGAACTCTCTCTCTCTCACTGTTACGAACCAGGTACTAACCTGTGATGTTGGCGCTGTGCTGCAGGTATATCGAAGACGGAGCTGGAGAATYGGCGCTGCAGGTAAGTGATCCCTGGCCTCCGCCCATCATCTCTACCACTACCTAGCTATGGTGCCCAGCGCCGAAGACTACARCTACCTACTGCGCCCAGCGCTGGAGACTACTAGCTAACGCTACTCTACTACAACGCAGCGCTCCCTCCAGAGTGCTGCTCCCGAATCCTGAAGACTACAACTGCCGAGCTGCCTACCCGTGAAGTGCCTGGGAAGTCCCTAAGTACTTCATCGGCCTGCCTCCTGACTGCAGGAGGGCGAGCAGGCCGAGCAGGCAGCTCTTGCCAATGCCGAAGTGTGCCAGGGGCTGGCRTGCAGCAGCCTGCTTGAGGCAGGYGTGGGAACAGTCTAAATATAGGCTGTTCCCAAAACCCTGGTTCGGTGCCTGAGTTTCAGGGCCGGTCGTTCTGATGAACGACCGAAAATGGCCCTTGGGTTCAGGCTAAAAATGCTATTACCATTTTTAGTCTGAACCGTCGCAGGGGCTGTAGGCCCTGAAAGTCAGGCTTTCGGCCTGAACCGAAATGGGGCCTGTGAGCCCTGAATTTTAGTCTTTCGGCCTGAAATCCAGGGTTTTGGCCTGAATCCAGTCGGGCCTGCAAAATGGCAGTCGGGCCTGCAAAATGGCCCGTGTGTGCACATGCTGCATGTAACACCCTGCCCTCCTTATGAAGTCAAGCCGGGGCGAGGCCGAAGCCGTCGATCTGAAGGTGGAACCTGGACGCGGGCGCGGCGTGGAGCCGAAGAAACCGGCTTGCCTTGCATCTTGCGTTTGTAGCGTGCGAGAATGTCTGGAGCTGTCGCTTGCAGTTCCGCACGGGTCAACCAACGATCAGCTCGATGAGTGCAGTAAGCAAAATGCACCAGATACTCAGTTGGCTTGTTGCCGTAGCGTCGCTGGGAGAGGATGTCGCCGACCTCTTGAAAACCATCCATAGAAGGTGGATCTTGCGTACGTCTCCCGAGAAAATTGTCATGTTCCGCAGGCGTGTACAGAGCCAATTTGGAACAATGAAAGACTGGGTAGACAGGCAAGTGGCTAGGGACCTGTCGTGAAGGAAGGCCCTTCAGGTGCGTCCCCAGCGGGCTCAATGATCGGCCAAGGCCCCATCCATTTCGGAAGGAGCTTGTGAGAGATGTCCTGTTCAAGGCTGAATTTCGCTGCTGAAACCCAGACAAGGTCTCCGACGCGGAATGGACAAGGAAGACGCTGGCGATTTGCCTGCTGGCTCATGCGCTGCTGCGTCTTAGCCATTTGATCGCGTGCCTTGACAAGAAGCTTTTGCATCCGACGCAAGAAGAGAAGATGGTCGTCGCTCTTGGCCGTGCGTGGAGTGATAGTGTCCAACAGTGATGTGACCGGCGAGCCGTGCTCGAACTCGAAGGGCGATATCCCAATAGCCGGGTGGATGGAAGAGTTGTAAGCCAACTCAACGTCCGGCTGTCGCTCAACCCAGTCTTTCTGGTCGGGGCGGATGAGAGTGCGAAGAACCTGTGCGGTCTGATGCGCCCTCTCCGTCTGGCCATCGGTCTGAGGGTGGCGAGCTGAACTGGGCTTGAGAGATGAGCCCCATCGCTTGATGAGCGCCAACCAAAAATCGAACATGAACCGAGTGTCGCGGTCGCAGACGATCTCCTTGGGGTAACCCCTGGTGCGAATCCAACCGGCGTAAAGAACCTCGGCCAACTCTGGTGCCTTGGCATGATAGCGACAAGGCAAAAACATGGCGAACTTGGTGAGTCGGTCGACCACCGTGAGAATCCCATCCACTCCGGTCTTGTGCTTGGGGAACGGGCCGGTAATGTCCATGACAATTGCTTCCCTTCGTCGCAATGGTCGTAACTCGCCGTACGGACGATGATTGCGGGATTTGCAGCGTCGGCAAACCTCGCATGATTCGCAATAGCGCGTGACGTCGCCGAGAAGGCCGGGACACCAAACTAGCTGGCGAAGTCGGCCAATCATGCGATTGACTCCAAAATGTCCAGTGGCGGGAGCGTCGTGGAACTCGCCAAGAAGCGGTGTACGCAAGTGTGGACAAGCAAGTACCCCTCTTGGATCCGGTAGTGAGGATCCGGATTAGGAGAGGAGCAATTCGCGTACTTGTCGTGAAAATCGGGGTCGACTTGGTAGCCGCGGATGAAGCTGTTCCGCAGGTCGTCGTCGATCTCGAATGTTGTGTAGACCGCGGTACAGTGATCCGGACGTTGAGAAAGAGCATCCGCAAAACGGTTCGACTTCCCCGGAATGTGATCGGGAAAGAAGTCGAACTGGTCGATGAAAGCCATCCATCGAGTGATGGTGCTGTTGACGGTGTCTTGGGTCTTGTAGAAGACCAACGGATTGTTGTCCGTGACCCATCGAAACTGGCTTCGGCCAAGGAGGAAGTGCCACCACCGCTTGAGCGCGTGGACGAAGGCGAGGAGCTCCTTCTTGCGTGCATCATCAATGGAATGCACAAGAGCGACCGGGTGCCAGTCCACACCGTCATGTTGCCCGAGGACTGCACCAATGCCATAGCCTGACGCATCCGTAGTGACACGTGTGGGCGCGAGCGGGTCGTAGATTCGCAAGACCTCCGCAGACAATAGCGCGGCTTTGAGAGCGAAGAATGATCCTCGCGCCTCCTCTCCGAAGTCAAACGACCGATCCTCGCACTGAAGCTTGTTCAAGTGGGCCGCGATCTAGGAGTAGCCTTTGATGAAGCGCTGATAGTAGCCCGTAAGACCGAGGAAGGAGCGAACATCCGTGACGTTCTGAGGCTCCGGCCACTCTTGGACGGCCTGAATCTTGTCCGATAGCGGATTGATGCCCTCCGGTGTGACAAAATGGCCCAAGTATTCCAGCTCTTGCCGGACAAATTCGCACTTGTCGCGGTTGGCCTTGTACTTGGCACGACGGAGCGTCTCCAACACTCGTCGAAGATGCCCAAGATGATCCTCCAATGTCCGACTATAGACGAGAATATCGTCTAAGTAGACCAGCACGAACCGGTCCAACATTGCACGAAACTCATTGGTCATCGCCGCCTTGAATGTCGCCGGGGCGTTGGTGAGGCCAAAAGGCATGACCACCCACTCAAAATGCCCGTACCGCATCTTGAATGCGGTTTTGTAGCGATTATTCGGCTGAATCGAGATTTGAGGGTATCCTGACTTCAAATCCAACTTGGAAAAATACTTCGCACCGCCCAGCCGCTCGAGAAGATCGTCGATGCGAGGAAGAGGCCCCGCATTCTTGACGGTTTGCGCGTTGAGCTTGCGGTAGTCAATGCACAATTGTAGATCCTTGTTCTTCTTCCTGACGAAGAGAACTGGTGCTCCATATGGGGAGCTACTCGGGCGGATCCAGCCCTTGGCCAAGAAATCATCGAGTTGTGCGCGGAGTACCTCAAGCTCCTCCTCGCTCATCCGATAGATGCAACCTTTCGGCGGCACGGCACCGGCCTCAAGAATGATCATTGAGAGATCGGCCAACCCGGCACCACACCGGTAGGTGACTCGAAGATGTCGGCGAACTTGTCCAGCAACCGTACCACACGGGGGTCCGAAGACAAGTCCGTGGGTGAAGAGTTGGCTACCGCGACGTTCCGTAGGAAACATATGTCGATCTCCTCGGGCTGCTCGTAAGCACAAGTCGCCCGGAATGATTTGGCAGTCACCACTTGGCTCCGGATCGAAGAGTGCGGTAGAGGAATTGTACACGCCACTTCCTCGCCGAAGGCGTCGCGAACGCTAAGAGTCCGCCCATGGAAGTTGACCGTGTGATCCGCACTTGCAAGCCAAGGCATTCCCAGAATGATGTCGAAGTCCGTGTCGAGAATATCGAATGTCACCAGTTCGCATGCATGAGGTGCGAAGTAGACCGGTACGGCCTCGATGTAACAGACGAGAAGTTGTTGTGTCTTACCATCCGCCAACTTGATCGCCGTCGGGTTTGCCTTCCTCCGAACTTGTGCGCCAAGGCCAACTCTTTGCATAAAAGACTAGCTCATGAAGTTGCGAGTCGCGGCGCTATCCAACAAATCGCCGCAGGACGCCTGCGCAACCTGGATGTGGACATACATGAGCGGTGCATTGTTGTTATCGTACCGCTGCGTGCGAAACTCGTGGGCCACCTTGGTAACGTATGCCAGGATGTCCCCCACCGCGACTTCGTCATCCGTCGGCGAAGTTGGTGGTGCATAGAAGGAAAGGTAAGTATGCAGATGAGCGCTAAGTGCTGCGCATTGCGGTCCCGACAAACAGCCTGTGGTCGGGAGAGGAAGCCATGCAAAGTCCTCAGACGTGAGCGGGTCCAAAACCTCTATCTTGAACTCGCGTGCCGAATCCCGTGACGAACCACTTGAAGACGATATGTCGCTGTTGCCGGACGGAGAAGAAACCGCACACACTCCTTGTCCTTGAGCTTGAGTACCCGGCGTTGGAACGAGCCGGGCAACATAGTCCTCAAAAGAAAATAGAAGCGGAGGACTGTTGAATTCCGCGTGCGCCTCGGAATGAAGGCTGGTCACTCGCGAAGAAACCAGTTCCGAAGGCGTCGAGAGTGTCGTCGCGTCACTCTCGGCGGTGCTCAGTTTCCCTGTCTGCCCTTGCCTTTCAATGGGCAAACCTGCTCTGATAAAGATCGTTGTTGCACCAAAGGCAATAGTGGAATCTCTCGTGCGCCTTGAATGCGGACTCGGAGATGCCATATGTGGTCCATTGGCCTGTCTGAGCTGCTGCACCGGGCCCGGGGCTAGAAATGGTGTGTGTCTTCGGCTTGCCGTGCCCTCGGCCTCTGCCGGTGCGGCCACCTTCCCGGGCAGCTGCGAATCTGTCTCCTTCACTGGCAGACACAGCCTCGCTGGTTTGGTCTAACAGCGCTGCCACCGCGACCACGACCACTCTTGGCCGATGCTGGTCTCTGCTCGGGCCTGACACAGATGAACGGAGGTTCTTGGCCTCCTTGTTCGTGACGATGATCTACGCAGCCTTGTCAAATAATTCCGCCGTCGTCGTCAAGGTGTCCTCGACATGCGTCAGGGCATTGCTCAATGCCGGACATGACCTTGAGATGAAGTAGTGGCGAATGGCCATGAAGCCCATCTGGATGTCTGGGACTGGCGTCAAGCATTGGTACTCGGCGATCCAGTCCGTACTCCGCAGCGTGCCTTGCTCGAAGACCATGAGCTTGTCCATGGCTTTGATCTCTGGCGGCTCCACCTGGAACCGCTTGTGCCACGCCGCCTTCAGATCATCCTTGGTGATCTTGGTGTGCAAGTCGTTAGCTACCACTCCGTACTTGGACAACAGGTTGTCCAACCAAGCCTGACACGCGCCCCTTGAGCGAGAGTACAAATAGGCGTGATGCTTGTGTTCCTTGACGTTGTGGAGGTGCAGCGTGAGCTCGAACTTGCGAAACCATGGAATTGGATCTGTCTTGATTGAGTCGTGGAAGATCTCCAGCCCATCGAACTTAGGAGCTGTCTCGCGCGGCTCCGGACTCGAGGTGGTGGCGGTAGTGCAGATCCGCTGCTGCAACTGTTGCGTCGCGGTTTGCCGTAACTGTGCGCCGTCCTGGAGGGAGCCGACTTGCATCTCCAATGCGGTGAGGCGGTCGGCAGTATTGGAAGAGCCTGCGGCGACTGGTCGCTGCTCCACCCGCTGAAGGCGGTCTTGGAGATGAGCTACCGAGTTGTCGAGACGAAGGATCTCTGCCTGCTGTGTAATGCAGGTTGCCAGGAGATCCATGAGATGCGAGAGGAGGAGCGCTATCTTGTTTGCGCTATCCTCCAACTGGCTATTCTCTTGGCCTCGCTTCGCCATTCTGCTGCCATGGTAAGTAATGCCCGCTCTCCGGTGAATATCTTCTCACGACGCTGTGTCCTTTCTTCATCGGCAGCCCTTGCTGCTGCCTCGTCGTGCTGGCGCTATTTTTGCACGACCAGCAGACGTGCCTGCTCGGCATCCTCTGCCCTTTTCTTGGCTGCTGCGGCAGCGTCATCTGCCCGCTTCTTTGTCTCAGTACTCTTGGCTAACATGCGGGCCTGATAGGCCTCGTCCGTTTCCTCGGCCTTCTGGTCCATGACTGCTGTCTGTGAATGCAACAGCATAGACCAGACCGGTGCCTGCTGATGTGGTATCCCTTGCTGCTGACATGGCAAAGCTGACGTGTCCTGCTGACGTAGCCTGCTGACGTGGTCTGCTGATGTACTTTCATAGTCTGCTGACGTGTCCTGCTGACGTGGTCTGCTGACGTGGCCTGCTGACGTGGCAACTTACCAATGCCGTCACAAGGGGTACCCGGAGACAACCAAAAACGGCAGGGCGAGAGATGGCAACAACATAGGTGGGGAGGGGTGGGTGGGATAATTGCCCAACTCACACTTAGATAAGGAGCCACTAATCAAAATAGAAAAGTTTGAACTTTGCAAAAAAAAATTTCGAGAAAATAAAAAATCCCGATTTTTGCAAGTTCGGTAGGTCTCCCAACCTCCCTTGAAGTACGAAATGATCTCTGAAAGCGAAAAAAATTCGACTTTAGACTGCAACCGATTTATAGAACCAACTGACAAAGTCCAAGAACTGCGAAAAAAGTCCGAACAGAAATGACAAGTATTCGGATTTATTCCGATGGGAATATTCGCAGTTTGAAAAAAAATAATACGGGCAGGAGGTATTTCCAATACCGTTTTCATAAAAAAGAATTTCAGAAAAGAATATATTCCGAAGTTCTAAGTAACAGGAATGCAACAGAAAATTGAAACTTTCAAAAAGAAATATTTTTCGAATTTTTTAACAACGAAATTTTGAATTTTCAGAGAGGAAAACGAAAATAGGAATTTCAGATGTTGCGATATAGCGATTTTCCACAGCAGAATAGCGAGAAAATAAAATCCGAGAAAAGAAAAAAATTTCGATTTTTTTTTTGTAGTGAGGTCAAGATCGTGATTTTGGGGTCTAACTAGTATGTCCTAATCAAACAGAAAAGACTGACTAGCTTTTTGATCCCCGCACACGTGTCAGATCAGATCGTCCTAATTCAAGTGCAAAAGCTCCGATACCAACTGTTACATGCACATATATGCAATGTACGTAATAAACCGAGAATCTGCAATGTGATGAAAAGGACTGAATAGACAATGAGGTACGAGTAGAATCTCGACAAGCAATGTACATTCTCATTCATACATAAAG